CCCCCCAGTTGTTCCTCTCCTTCAGATTCATTGGGTATTAGGCACCCCCTCACAGTACCCATAAGATGCAGCCTGTCCTTTTTGATGGTATACGAAGGCAAAAACTACTTTTGAGCTTCAAATGAGGGCATAAAGGTCTTGATATACACAAAGGAAAAAATAACTGTTTACTACTCCATGGAATCATATAGAAGTATATATTTTTCCCCCCTTTTAAAGCAAATTACCTTGGAAATCAATTAAGGTATGGACATCCGAGTGTCAAAAATTGCTGGGTTGATGGGAGGGTCACCAATATCAAAAAAAACTCTGCGACTTGGTAATCAACAGAAGCATAACAGAGGAAAAACATCTAGACCATGGTCCAGGTATCAGGGCAAGAATTTAATATTTTCGTCTGTTGATATATGTGGATCGAATTTTTAATAAAAACTTTGTAACACCCTTTGCTACTAAAAGAAAACAAGATGTATGCAGTTGAGAAGCCACAACTTCTAAAAAAGCTTAAGAGGAAAAAAAGCTTTCTTTATCTTGAAAAACATTTGACCAGGAAAATTTCTTCCTGCTCAGCGTCTTCCATAGCAAGTCTCAGAACATCAAAGACAGACTGCCAGTTATCATTTGACTAAGGTCATTATTTAAATTCGACTGTTAAACCAAAGGACAGATTAAGGCCAGTTGAGTTTACAGCTAACAGGGTTTGTAACAAACACAACTGCTGTAATCATAGGCAGCCCTGACACCGTACCATGTAGGGGTAAAACAGATACCTGTGTTCCTAAAGTCATGAGATAACAGGAAAACATTCCAAAAGACACAACCCTTTTTCTGGCTCTAACTAGTCCCAATGGATATTTATCCAACTCCTTTTGTGAATTTGTGAAGAAACCTTCAAAAGCTGATATTCTATGCCCTTTGTAGACAATCTATTCTAGTACTTAGTTATTCCTATGGCTAGAAAGTTTTTCCTAATGTTTAGTCTACATCTTCTTGCTGCAATTTAAGCCCATTACTTCCCATTGTATCCTCAGTGGACATGGATAGCATCCTATTATCTCCTCAGATGCAGAAGGTCTAACAGCAAATTCAGCTTCCCTCACTGTCAGGCCTGGGCCTTAATTACAAGATGATTTCAACTCTCACAGCTCATGTTTGTATATACACTATGCATATTTATGGCACATACCAAAGATGACTGCTTTCAATGGATTGCTGTGAGGATTTTGTTGTGGTAGAGAAAACAAATTGCCATTGCTGGCATTAAAGCACAAGAAGCATTTTTCATGCACCCTCATAAATGCGTATTCCATACACATATATTTACTTTTCCCCTTAAAAGCTATATTGTATACATCGCCTGACAGATCTGAGGGCAACCTAATGCTACCACAAGCGTGCTCAGTCCATATCTGCATGCAAGCACCCAAGCATGCACACACAGTCACAAAGGCATACGAATGCTTATAGATCTGTGGCGCAGACTCACAGATGGTATAAATCAGTGTCGTCCCTACCCAGCCTAACTCCTGTTCAAGTCGGCCATAAGGTATGAACAGACACGTACGCAGCTCCCCATGTCTACACAGCCATATGGGCATCATACCCATGCGGATGTGCATTGCACACCTTCCTGGCCTGATGGATGCTGCAGTACAGCTGCCAGCCTGGCCACCCAAAGCACAGGCTTCGATACCATCGAGTTCCCATCAGCAGAAAACTCTGGCTCATGCACGAGAGGAAAGACTGAGCAGCACCGTATAGTGCAGCAGAACCCTGTTGAACCAATTAGGGTTAACACATTTCTGGTTAATGAGAGGTGCCGGTCATGATTGTAAATTAATATTTTCCAGTGGCTACCCATGCACTCAAGTGTCAGTATTGATCAAACTTACCTCTGCCCAGTTAATGCTGATGGATTCAACAGCAACATACGCCTGCTCATCTGTTACCCAATTAAGATAAGCCCTCGACTCATCCTAATAGCTGTATTTATTGTCATCAGGAATATTGATATATCTGTGCTAACTGCAAGCCAACATACACACGGAAGCACACGCAAAGGATGTGATGTTACTCTGGGAATTGTCCCGGGCTCAAGACACATTGAGAAAGCACTTTGTCAGCCTTCATGCTATTTTGTCCGGAGAAACAATATTTTCCATGGGGACAGCAAAAGTAAAGGATACTCCTTTCTCTAGTCTTCCTAGGGTAGATTTTCCCCCCCCCGCAGAGAATAAGTGCAGAAAGCTCTACAAATAAACTGCTTGGCTCTTAAAAGACTAAAGCAAATGAAAGCCTCATGTTGCATAGGGAGTCCAGCATGCGAGAAATGCTGGGCATGTAAGGAAAATGCCTATGGGAGGAACCAAATAAGGATTAATGAGCATCTCTTTATATGGTTCTCTACATTGCTAGCCTGACTCTGAATCAGAAGCTGCTGGGTAGCTAATGGGCCTTGGGTAAGGGACATGACAGCAGCTGTCTGCATAAAGCAAACAAAAAAAAGACTGTAGCAAAATTTAACATTTTCCTTGCAGTGCAAGGAGTCCTGAAATGCCCACACATGATTTAGTGAGCAGCTGCCCCTTCCTAGAAAGGCACAGACCCCTGCCCCTACCAAATGGGGTATTAACTATAGGAAGAGATCTGGACTCCATTTCCTCAGGAAAAGGTCATTCTCAACTAAAACAGAAGTGAGAGCTCAGAGGAGGCCAGTTCATCTCCACAGCCAGAGTGTAGCACTGCCAACCCCAGCCAGAGCACCCACCCTGTGCAGCTGCGACTGCATGCTGCGGTATATAAAGCTGAACTGGAAAAGAGCTGCGGACGCAATGCTTAATGCTCAACAAGTTAGAAAGCAGTTAACACAGGCCTCTGCGCGTCTTCATTAAGAATCCCTTTTCCCTGCCATCTGAGCACAAATGAGACAGCACCATCTGACTTGTGCAGAGGCTGCATTTGGTCCCAGGGAGTTCGCTGGGACCTCAAGTCATCAGCGAAAACCTGTCTGGCGTTTTTCACAGATTGTAGCCTCAATCATTCTTCCAATTTGACAGATGCCCCCAAGACATCTTGTAGGCCTGAAAGCATCCTATTAGGCCACAGTTAATGGCAGCTCACACTGAGTGCCCAAAGTTTGAACAGGGTTTTGCAAATGGACCCTTTTAGCCCACCAGAGGTAGAACTCACAAGCCTGCTGCCACACAGCAATCGCAGAGCTGTTGCTGCTGCCGCTTCTGTCCAATCTGTCCTTTAGATAAGTGAAGGACACCTATCTCCAGGGCTCTCCACTTAGTACTTTTCACCATTCACTAAATTAAAAAGTGAGCAATTGACAGCACACCTTATTAAATGACTCCCCCCTTCCTCCCCCTACCACCATGGCCATGTTTTAACAGCCACAGACACTTTGCTGGTGTCTTTTTAATTTGATTTAACTAAAAAAATAACACACAAAGCCATTTGGCCTTGTGCCACTCAACGTACTGCTATAGAGTAGGCATGAGTTATGGGGCAATATTTCACACCCTGTTGTGTCTTATTACTTAACTAATAACAATATTTACCCAGGGTTTTCCCCGAGCAACTCAGACAGGTCTAAAAGAAATCTTGATTAAAGAATGACAGCCAAAGTATTGGATGTTAAGTATAAATAAGAGTAATGTGAAGAGTGTGGAAGAGTTTACTGTTGCATCCTGGTAGTTTGCAGTAAATCAGAGTAATATGAAAGTTCCTTCTTCAGCAGGCCTCCCCAGTTGCCAGCTCTCCTGGCAGCCCATGTAGAGTAGAGAGCTTCCAATCTTCTCGCTTGCACTGACAAGTGCAACTGTTGTAGGCTGCAGCTGCATCGTGCAGCAGTAGCCTTTGCCTGCCAGAGACCGAACCTTCCGCCCTAAGGCCTTAACCACTAGAGCTAAAAGAATAATTAGCCACCCCTCACCTTTTCTGAGGCTAATCACTGAGAATTATCTTGTAGCAAACTAGTTAGAGCATCGCAACCTTCATTTTCCACCAACTCCCTGCCACTCATCAGTCTGTAGTTAAAAAAAAAAGTGTGTGATACAAAGCAACATCTCTCAATGTATTATCTCTGGAACTCACTGCTGAGGCAGTCAGAGCCAAGGACTATGCAGATTAGAGGGAGTGAATGTCATGGGTAAAAGCACCTCTGTTCAGGTTAGAGAGGATATGACATTTTTTCCTCTTTCACCAGTTAAGCAGCAACTGCCTCTTCAGTAGATTATTCCATGTTCCTGCACTTTGCAATTTCTGCTGAAATAGTCTGAGTTGCCCTCTGTTCAAGGCAGGATACAGAGCTATCAAAGTCCTTGTCTCACTTCCTTTGGTAATTCTCCAGCTGACTCAGGGACTTAAGTTACACATCCATTCAGCTAAGAAAAGCACTGCAGATTCCTTCCAACCCAACCGTACTCAGAAAACTATTCTAATACTGGAAGTAAAAGGGCTCCTATCAAAAGCACCTAAATACATTCAAATTTATGTTTAAGTTGCTATTTGCCTGACTGCCTCAGATTACTTGCCCACTGGAAGTAGGGGAAAAACCACCTTTCTCTGCAACTTCTTGTTTGGAGTCCTCCCCTCCACCAGCTTATCAGCCTCTGATTTGACCCTCCTGTGAGAGTGACTAAAGTCATAGCCCTAGCAGGGATGTACACAAGCCAGGGCTGAGCACTCTAAATGATGTCATCTCTGTAAAGTTACTTTGGCTGATGGATGGGCAAAATCCTGTAGTTGTTGCTCAGGCAAAACATCGTTCCAAGATGGTGAAAATTTTGAATGAATAAAGAGTTTAGAATTTGGTCCAATGGTAGTAATTTTAGGGCAGGCACCTTAAGGAGCGTGAACCTCACCTGACGAGGTGCTGTGACACAAGGTGCTCTCATGATCCCAGCCCACATCATCTCTGCAACAGTCCATCACTGGCTGCACTCAGCCAGCAACTGCAACAGACAGTGACTGAGAAGTGAAACAACATTTACCTCTTCCATTGAGGCTCTGCAGAGCTTGTCTCTTCAACCTTCAGTATTTCAGCATTCTCCCACGTTGCTCCCCTCATTGGGAAGTTTTTAATATTGTTCCTTTCCAAGAAAGGACCTGTAAAGCTGCAGGAGAACCTATGGGTAAATAGCTGGGCACTATTTACCATTGCAACATCTGTCTGATTTCTGTACTCAAGTTAGAAACACTAGGGAAGGTGACAGCAGTACAAGGGCAAGGAGACACTGAGATCCTCTCTTCCCTCCTCACCAGCAGGGAAAGGAGCCCTATGAGCCAAGCAAAGTGTTGTGTGGAGGTGGTACTGATGAGTAACTATGGCAGCAGGGAATAAGACTCCAAATCTTACTGAGGATACTAGTCCCAGCCAAGGGAACTTTTTTTTTTTTTTAATACTGACATCAACTGCATTTGCAGCAAGTTTTACCCCCCCCTTACCACTTACTCCCCCTCCAGCCCCACTCACTTTCCCATACATACTCTCAGCTATACCCAGTCTAACTTTCCTTTCCCCAGCTCTGTACACTTTCAGGTCCTACCCAGCCTGTCCCCAAGCCTTCTTTTCCCTACAGAAGCACCTGTAAGCCTCGCTAGCCTCCACTTCTACAGCTCTGCCAGTTCTGGTTGGAAATGGAGACCCCAGTGATTCAAAGCAGGCTTGTTATTAGCTCTGCCAGCTGTTTCATCGCCCTGCCTCTAAGCATGCCAACCAGAAAGGCCTTTGTTCTCCAGGACACCCTTCCCAGCTGATTCTGACTAGGTGGCTTATCACCCAGAAGCAGCAGCTTCCACCCTGGCAGCTTATTGCTACACCCCAATCCTTCTGTGCTAGGAAAAAAAGAGAGCCTTCACCCTCCTCTTCTGGACCCCTACTATTTGTCTTTCATTTCTTTCCTAAAGGGTGGATGGAGTGAATTGTACCATCTCTTTTGGCTCAACTGCTTCTGCCAGGCATTTTGTATCACCCTACAGCAGACAAAGCTTGGAAGGAAAGAAGAAACGGCCTTGGGATAAGAGATCACATCCTTGTGAGTTAACTTAACAGCCAAGGGGCTAAAAAAAAAAAAAAAAAAACACATTCCAAAAAAAAAAAAAGATATATGTGGCAGACAGTACGGCTCTCTATTAGGAAAATCAGGATTATGCTTTAAATGCAAGAATGCAGTATGACAGAACCTCCCTGTCCCCCAACATTACCATACATATGCATAATAGTCCCAAGGTATTAAGGGTAAGTAGGTTGTTCAAATGGGTTCAAGGCTTATCCAGCAGAGAGAAAGCACCCAGACTGATCAGACTTCAGCCCACAAACACCACCCAACTGCTAATGTTTGGGGTTACAGGACAAATATCACAGAACAGGGGAGGCAGGAAAAGAATGACGCCCCTAACTACAATTCCCATCAGCCCTTGTAGAACCTCAAGCCACCCCGGGAAAATTATGATTATTGCAGCCCTTTAATCAAACACAAAATAGACATCTAAACAAGGGGAAGGTCATGGAAGGTCATTTCCATTTTGTCTTAGCCTCAGGAGGTAGCACTTGAGGAGGGCTAGCAAGGACTATATATCACATTCATCTCGTTTTCCACTGGCACAACCTTAATTTTGAAAGCACTTGCCTTCCATTCACCAGCGATCTTGAACTTCTCCTGTTGAGAGTCACCTGTCCAGACTTCTCACTTTCTCTCTGCTGCTGCATTTTTTCCAAATTCACTCTTCCAGTGTAGGTCAACATCAACATCCTATGATACAATTGGGAGAAGAAAGCTCAGAAAAGGAAGAAACTTTAGGTGACAGACCTAGAGAGGAAGGCCAGATCCTTAATACAAGGGGGCTCACATGGCAAAACATCTCTCCTCTGGATGTACAGCACATGAGCTGCATTTGGAAACACCTGTGGAGGCAGCAGAGACCCCTGAAGCCCACAGGAGTGAGGACATGGTGGGGGGAGAGGAATGACAGAAGTGTTTCAAATTCAGTGACAAGATCTATGTAGAGAAACATGACTCCGTTAATAACACTCTTCTACAGCCTCCTACTTTTCCCCACCCATTCACTTAGCCCTATTTCTTCATGTGAAATAGATTTCAGCATCATGTCACCTCCCAACCACTTCCATAAATTCTACATCCTTCATTCTCTGCACCCTAACTAACCTCTGACTCTGACCCCACTTGTCCAACTTCATACACCTTGGCAGGAACACTAGCATACCTGTGCTTGCTTCCATGCAACAAGCTGCATTTCCTTACTCCCTGTGCTTCCTAACCTCTGTGGCAGCCATTCTCCAGTCAGAGATGCTGCAGACTATTTCATAAAAACTACCTCCCTTGTGCCTGAGGCACAATACCTGCCAGATATGACATCTTTGTGCTGTGTTACTACTCTATCCCCAGTACAAAAATCTTTAAAGCCATGGCCATAACTGTAGTGCCATTTCTGTTTTAAGACATGTTATCGGGAGTCCTGCAAGTACAGACCTCCAGTTCCAGTAAAGACCATGTCCGTCCTTGCACAGAAATTAAATAGACTTCTAGTGAGAAAAATAGTGACTTCAGATTCAGGAAGTGGTGTTGTGCTGGAAATGTCACTCTAGGGAAGAGCACATTTCTGTGTGCAGTCTCCCTGTAATAGAAGACTCACCTCTGAGAACAACACAGTCAACAAGTTCTGAAAGAAAATGGAAAACATCCCAATTTTATAGCTTTGCATACTATTCCTGAGAAGCCACATACACTGTATAAGACAAACTCATATGTCAAGACCAGAAAGAAAGATTATGATTTTGCTTGATTTCCTAGCACACATCATTGAACTTCAATTAAAATTTTCTGTATTAAGCAAAGTGCCCATGTTTAAACTGGAATCTCTCTTCAAGACAGCAGCCCAGTCTGGAACTGAACATCTGATATATGGGAGAGCTACCATGTCTCTAGTTATTTCATTCTGAAGGAAAATCATCTTCATTAAAAATTCTTTACCTTTTTCTTCATCACTTTTCTTTTGTGTAGCTTGCAACTACAGGCTCTTGTCATTGCTTTCTCCGCTAGAACTGCTGAAATCTTAAGTAGGTAAGCAAGGCCTATGGTTATGATACTTAATCTTCTCTAAACAGATTGAGTTTCCCAAGTCTTTCATTCTGCGGCAGATTTCCAAATTTTGCATCATTCCAGTGGGCTCTTATCTGAACCCCTTCCAATTTGTCAACAGGCCTTTGATACATTTTGTAACAGTTAACACTGCAAGATAAACCATCATTTTAAAACTTTCTAGGCTTTTGTGTGCCTCATTTGTCACCCCCAGCATTACACATAACTGCATACCATATGTGTTAAAAAAAAATCACACACAGGAGACTCAAAGGTCAGAAATTAAACTAGAAAATATACACAGCAGAAACCAATCAAAGCCTCTTTCTCTTTTCTTCCAGCTCTGCATGACAGATGCTACAGGAGCTTAAAGTACCTTCCCCAGTGACTTACCCAGTTCAAAAAGAATGGTCTGACTGATTCTACCATCATTTCTTTGGAAAACCATACCCTGCAAGGTTTGACAGAAAGTTTTCTTACCCACCATATTTTCCACATGGTTAACTTCATCTCATTTCTTTTACACCCTTAAACTGTTACGTGAATCTTCTACATCCCTACACAATACAAATTTCATCTTATTATTCCTACTTCCCTAAGCCAATCTAACACCACTGTTAGTCCTGCATCCCCATGGCAAGCTCACTTGTCTCACATCCAACCCTTAAAATGCCTGTAAATAATCCTAAAACCTTAGGTGGACTGGTCAGCTTACACTTGCTTAGTTTTGGTTTCCATACATCACTGCCAATGAAAACTTGCAGTGAATTCCTTGCATTTCTTATCTCTAGGACTAATTTTTAATTGAGCTACCCAGGTTTGTCTAAACTGAGGTATTACTACTGCCATGGATGGCCCCCATCTTGCCAATCCAGGATCCAGGACTTGCTATCTCTTCTTATAAAGCTCACAATTTCATATTATAACCATTTCCATTACACATTTGATTGTCATGCACATGCAGATATGGTTAAATTCCACCAAATCCAGAAACACCCACCTCCAGAGTAAATGCAGCAAGCACACGTGTACATAAAGCTCTCAAGGAGGAGGGTGAGTGTTAGCTAAGCATGTGATAGGACAAATGACTTCTTCAGCAACAGGAAAAAAGTTTGTTCCTCAGCCAAGTTTTGGACATGTTTAGGATTTGTTTTTAATCTAGGACACAGCCAACAAGTCTTAAACTCCCATCTGTACTTCAGGCAGCAAGCTTGTATAAAGATCAAGACCAATCCTGCTAGTACTGTAGATGGGACATTAGACTTGCCCGTATTTTGGGCACATCCAAGACCCTTGCCTAACCTGCAGATAGCTAAGATTGCCAAATCCTTTCTCTGCTACAAGAATAAACACGGCTATTAACGTGTCTCTTATTTTGGTGCTGTCCCCATTGCAGAAAATCTTATCCACTTTCAGGCAACAGGAAGACCAGAAAGCACGTACCGGCTTCACACCCATTTGTCTGAAACCTTAACCCTCCAAAGCTGGGTTTTAACGCACTCTGAGGGTGAAAATGGTCTGTTTCCAAGATCCCATTCAAACTGGTTACTTAGTTTGAGCTGCCACTAATTGTGGCTTAATTACAGAATCACAGGATATGAGATTTGCAAAGATCTCCTGAGATCAGTAGAGTAAGATATTTTCAAGACCACAGGTTTTCTTGTGCATGTCAGTCCTGACTGATACCCTACTAAGCAAAGGAATATCTGGTTTAAAGGCCACCCCACCAAACAAAAGTTCTTTGGGAAACCTCAGCACATATTTTTATGTCCTGCTTCTCTCAAGTGATGATCGTCATGTCCTCCTAAAGGCCTAAAATGCCCTATATAAAAACATTTTAATAGCAGTTATCCTGAAAATGCAGCTGACATTTTGAGGGGAATTAAAAAAAGGCATTTTGGATTTGACCAAAATGATACCAAAGGAAAAAGTGTAGATGCCCTGTTTTGGCAACACTATTGCAAAATTTCTGTTCTGGCTAAACTCCAACTGCTTCCGCTAACTTTTTGGCCCAGCA